ATAAACCAGTCATGGTCCATGTAAGTTACCCTCATTTGGGCATTTTCTAGACAAAATAAATATCAATTTGACCACGTTTGCTACCACCCTCAGAAGAAGAAGAATCATAACAATAACCATTTTCATTTTCATAATGTTTTACATACCATCATCATCATCATCATCATGGTCATCATCTTCAGGGCTGGGGTCGATCCCATTTTAATTCAGGAAGTGAATCAAAATAAAAAATAATTGTAAAGTGACATTTATTATCAATTCCCGAATAAACTTGAAACTGACCCCAGCCTTGGAAATCTCCCATAGGATCTTATCAGTAATCAGATGTCAGTGATCCCACTTGTTCCAGCAGCATTACCTGTGTGACCTCCAGGCAGCAGATACATGAAGCCAGTGGGCCGGGAGCGTGATAATTCCTTTAGCCTCCCCAGGACACACACACAAAGGATTGATTGTTCACAAAGGTCAGTGCATGGGTAAGGACACACGTGACAGCATCTCCACTTTCACACTGGCGAGACATAGAGATGTGCGCATGCATGAACACACACACACACACACATACATACAGGCAGTAACATTCACACAAACACAGGGACTCACAAGCCTGCTATGTACACACACACTCTTTCAGTAGTTTCCTACACGCTCTGCTCTGCTGAGCTGGAATGCCCATTTATTTTCCTGAGCTGTGGGTAGCCTTGTGCAATGGTGCCAAGCAAATAGGGAATCATTTGTGGTCACACAAGAGTCAGTCCCAGAATATACTGTATTCAATCACACACACTTACACACACTCACACACACATACAGACACATACTGTACACACATAGCATCACACAAACATATGGGTCCCAGCCGACTAGAGGCCCTTAGTAGGCCGCTTCATAGCTGTGTGTCTGTCTGTGTGAGTGAGTATGTGTGAGTGTGTGAGTGTGTGTGTCTGTCTGTCTGTGTGAGTATGTGTGAGTGTGTGAGTGTGTGAGTGTGTGTGTCTGTCTGTCTGTGTGAGTGTGTGAGTGTGTGAGTGTGTGAGTGTGTGAGTGTGTGTGTCTGTCTGTCTGTGTGAGTATGTGTGAGTGTGTGAGTGTGTGAGTGTGTGTGTCTGTCTGTCTGTGTGAGTGTGCTGCGTGTCTGTGGCAGAGTATCCAGGGTGGCCAACAGGCACTGGAGAGGAAGAAATGTGAGAGGCGAAGAGTAGAATTGTCCCTGACAGTCTCTATTGGTGTTGCTGGAAAATCTGACTGTGCCCCTCAAGTGCTGTAGAGTTGATATTTCAAGCTAACCCTCTGATAATTCGCTAGACAAAACAAGAGGTCTGCTGGGTGAGGAAGTGAGAGAGGGTGGGAGAGGGTAGCAGGGTAAAACAGAAGGACCTCTACATTCCCCCTACCCTACCTCCCCTCCTCTAACTCAGTCTTCTCAGGGCAGGATGTCAGCATTGTTCAACTGCAAGCGGAAGCCCTGTGTTTATTGATACGTGTGACTGTAACCTCTGGTTGAACAGGAACGATACGGTGGGCACATCAGGGGAAGCTAAGTGGCACGAATTGAGAGCATGCTAGATACCTCCTGACTAGCTCTCAAAGAAAAGCTCAGCTGCTGCCCTGCTGTTTTTTCTTTTGGTGAAAGATAATGTCCATGGTGTAATGGGATAGCTGGGAAATGTCTGTAGGTCAGTGGAGAGAGCTGACTTTGTCATGGAGGGGGAAGGGGACGTGGCTGGGCACTTAGAATTCTATTTGAAATCCAGTACAGAAGGAAAGATAACCAATCTCTGACCTCACAAAGCAAAGTCAATACAATCATTTCTGGTGAACAGGGGTCGTACTTGGTAAATTACACTGTTATTATATTCAGTAACATCGTTTTTGCGGTAAACATTTCAGGCCTTTTAACTAAGCATCTATCTACCAAATGTAGCTTGGACAGATACTATATTGTGCTGTGTTGTGATGTGTACAGTAGCTGACTCCTTGCTTTAACACTGATGGGGTTTAGCTGGAACGGCAGGGGTGACATTGATAAATGTGGTCAGCAAAGA